GTAGAGTCGGCGTTAAGTACACATACATGTGCGCGCGCGGGAAGGTGTCGCCGAAGCCGAGCGCGCGATATAGTCGTTGTTGCGGCTGCGACTGGTTGCTGCTGCACACACGGGAGAACGATAAGAAGTTACTCCAAGCCGGCGCGCACACGTGCATAAGACCGAGAAGTTTACACTCGTGAGCGGGTGAAATTATTGAATACGTTATTAGCCAACGTCGCGAAGCTCGAGAGTATATATAGGTAGGTACTGGTACGGCGTGTATAGACTGCACACACAGAGGCAGCGGCAACTTTCACCGCAAGCAGCACTCGATGCGCGTCGCGAATATACGTTCGCAGCCGTCGACAAAGAGTTTCTACGTTTTCGAAACAATAAAGTACATTATAGACCGTACAAAGATGTGCGTGTGTACCGTGCTGACAATGCGGAGTAAAAGAAAAAATAATGAAAGCTCTCTCGTGTGCCTGAACGTTTGTATCTTTAAAAATCATTTGTGTTGCCATTAGCTCTGCAAAATAATCACCGAAAGCTCTTTTATCCGAACAAAAGCTCGCGCGTGGCCTCGAGAGAATTTCGAAGAAAAATAATCCGTGCGCCGCGAGCATGTACGGCAAAGGTACGGGGGAAACCCGCAAATTCGCATAATAATCGCCATCAAGAGAGCAACAGCACTAAACAGACGCATTAAAACCAAAGAAAAAAAGTGGAGGAAGAAAGGATAACACACGCGCAAAGACAGACGCAGCGTAATACATAAATAGCATTAGAAGCGAGTGCGCGCCAATGAAAAAGAATTAGCCGTTTGTCAAACGGAAGCGAGACAAAAGAGATTCGTGTGCGTGCGTACTGCGGTGAATTCGCGAAAATATGTTTCGCGAGAGTATAAATTTATATACGCGCGACGAGCTTGCAGCAGCCAGCGCGTCGTCTATATGCGCGCGCGGGTGTACACATTATATACTCGCATCAGCGCTACTGACGCTGCTGTTGCTGCTCAGGGAGTTAACAACATTACGACGTTATTAGATTTACCGCAAGCACCTAAGCCCGCAGGCATTAGCCGGGTTTGGCTCCCTGTAGCCCTCTGTTGCACAAGCACGCCGCCGTCGTCGAGGAGCACGGTTATGTACAGACAAAGCCACCAAAGATGCCTCGAGTCCTGTGCGCATGCAAGCACTAGGAGTTTATTTCTTATTTTGTCACGGGAAGAGTATATAAGTAAGAAGAAAAAAAGGACGAAGAATTAGCGGATAAAAGCTCACTCGAAATCGATTAATCAGTAGGTCAAGATGTAAAGCCTATGAAAGTCAGCGACGTGTAATGTACAACACCGAGAGAAACCCGAAACGAAAGATTGTCCGTATTTATGTACAAGTGCACGACGATGGCAAGCTCGTTTGTAATCGTAGTGTACACGAGTGCGGTCGTTGGTGGTGCAGCTGCGGCGATATCGATGCGGTTTTTACGCACGCACAAAAGAGCCACGAAGAGAAAAATTGCTCGCGCATACGCATACAGGGCCAGTAGCAGCGGCCTATATATCGAACGCGCTCGACCCTCGAAGATAACGTGCACTCGCTCTCTTCTCTCTCTTCTCTATCTAGCTTCCATACTCTCTCGAGGTACAGAACAGCAGCAGTAGTAGTAGTGCTATAATGTCTCTCGTTCGCCTCGTACGTTTCCGCTATCTGACGCTAAACGGCCACCCCGGCGCGCTACGTCGTCGTTGCTTCTTCTTTGCTTGCACGTATAGTAGTAGTATATAGCTCGCTCGCTCACTCCCCTCGTTCGTTCCACTCTCTCTCTCTCTCTCTCTCTCTCTCTCTCTCTCTCTCCCTTCATTTCTATAGATTGGTTCTGTGCGCGGGCGCCACTTAATTTACGAGCTCGGAAAATTTTGACTGCCTACAATGAGTACTCGATATTATGGCCAGTCGATGGCTCTAACTTACACGAGTTTATAACGCACGTATTATACTTGGCCCTGTAATTCACATTTTTTGCCTACTTTGCTACAATTTTTCAACAACATGGAAACTGTATACGACTTCGAGCAAGAAGCTCGTTCAAACTTTGAACTATCCCTCGGCGACGGCGACGTCGTCGTTGGGCGCGCACACACGAACACACAAAACATCGGGCCGTATAACGAGACCGAGTCCGATAAAGGCGGAAATCACTTGGCGTTGATGGTTCCTTTATGCCGCGCCGCGCGTCTATGCGTGCGCTGCCTGCTTCGGTCGCTATATAATGGTATACACATATATATAGAAGCGAAACGCGCGAAGAAGGAAGAGAGAGAGAGAGGGACTGAGAAATTTCTCATTCGAGCAGGCTAACTGTCCACAATGACGACGGCGGTCGGGGGGTGCAAACTGCTCTTATCGGAGGCCAACGTTTATGCCCGTACCTTATCTGGCGCGCGGCTGTGGTGTATACGTATAATAATACACGCACACTTAACAGCTGCTCTCGGCTGCGCCGCTCTAGGATCTCCATTACCGTTGTGTCTGCCTGGCGTATATACACAATCACGCGAAAGAAAAAAAATATAACGTAAAATGTTCTTCCGAGTGTTTATTCGGTCATTTTTACAAAAATACAAAGTAACAATAACCGTCATTTAATAGTAACAGGAAAAGTTGGGAATGCGCATGAGAAAAGGCACGAAGGAAGAAGAAATATACTTTGGTCCAGCTCGCGCGTTCCACGAGCAAAACAAAATATTATAGTCATACGCAAATTCCAGACTCTGTTCAATGAAGTGCGTCCTTTACTCGTAGAAGAATTTCAAGATTGAAGGTCCGGTGCATGACAGACGGGACACAAACGCGTCCCTTTGTCAGGTGTTGTGCAGAAGGATGCGCGTACGTATTTTTCATAAAATTCAGCGAGCTCAGAGAAGAAGAACGTACACACACAGATCCACAAGTTTTCTAAATTTTCTTGATATTAAATTACTGCGCGACAAGACATCGCGAAATGTAAAAAAAAAATGAGAACTCGTACGTATTATTTCCAAAACTTCAATACAATGGTCAAAAGCTTCTAGAGTATGACCTTTTTCTCGATATTTATGCATACGCACACACATTTCCAAAAAGTATAATCGTGTGACGGGAAAAGAAATTTCGAGTGTTTTTAATAAAGAAAACCGTCGATACGAAAAAGACGCGGGTGCGTATAGTCATCGCACGACGACGACGACGACACACATGTTTGCACTATCGAAGTCGTCCCTCTCTATCGTATTATACTTCCTAGAGCAATCCCTTTGATGCCAGCCAGTCTCTGCTATATTAAATTTTTACAAGCGATTACACGCTAGACCAGGACGACGACAAGGTTGTTGTATACGCACGGCTCTTCTTTGTTGCCGATACGATATAATATCTCTCTTTCTCTCTTTCTTTCTGCCCAGAGAAACGTCGTGATTTAATATAGTTTCTTATTCGAAGCTCCGCAGTTATATATCGTCTGATATGCTTGCGTGCGCTTGCGAAACGAAGAGTCGCTGCTGCCAGCTCTACTCTACCTGCAACGGCTGGAAAGTTCTCTTAGCTCTTACTCGGGGCTTCCTAATTGTGTTTTAAAAGATTATATAACGCAGAAATTGTGTCGCAGTTGCTGCTGCTTCTGCTGCCTGGGCCGCCCCAAAGTCAATTACGTGATCGTCCAAGCACGGCACACGATCTACCGCGCTATATAGATATATTTTTCGCGATATACTCGAGATTTTACGCGACAACGCGCGGACGACTTCGCTTCGGGCGACGACTCACTCAACGGAAAAAACAGAGAGAGAGAGAGAGAGAGAGAGAGAGAGAATGAGTGAGCGAGGGCAAAGTTACTCTTTTTCTGCGGCGCGACAGAGATCGAAAGACGTTAAAAAGCGATCCCTTTTCTTTTTCTGCCAAGCGCGCAATCGGACTTTCTTGCTTTTCAAGTTAGCTATTTTCCGCAGACCGCAACGCTCCGTGGTTGCTTTTTCTCTTACTCCTTTTTCCCTCCTTTCCTCTCTTTCACTCTTGACTTTTCCGCGGACTTTGTCGGCGATCTTATTATTGTATTCTCTTATACACACACCAGTAATTTGCGGAAACTTTTTCTCCCCTTCCTACCTTCTTTCAGCAACGCGCGAGGAAAGGTGAATATAATACATAACGACTGGATCGTTGAGAACTAGCTGTTAAAAACATTTTATTTAATCATTTTCTAGTCTACATACGCATTCGCGCAACGAAATAAAAAATTATCTCGTCGGCGTTAGAGGCAGCAGAGACTCGTTTTCTTCCTTTCTTCTCTTTTTGTTTTTTGTTCCATGTGCAAAAAAGAAGTAGAAATGTAAAAAAACAATCGCAGCTTCGAGCTTATACAATGCCGGAGAGCGTTTAAAAAAGTGCCCTGGTCGGCAGGCGGCAGCGGGCAGAGAGTGTTTAATAACCCGAGCGAGACGCGCCCGCGTGCACTCGTAAACTCGAGAGGGTGGCTATACAGCGGCAGCAGCAGCAGCAGCAGCAGTGGCAGCAGTAGATTCACCATTAGCCGTGAGGGTGAGTATATGCCCGGCGTAATGGTTCGCGCTCGTATATGAGCGATCACGAGGGCATTTGCGTTAATTAAATTTATCCCAACTGACCACTGCCTCTGCTGCTGCTGCTGCTGCCGCTGCTACTGCTCTGCACCCTTTCGATATACATATTTCTCTACTCGGCAGAGAGAAGACATCAATCATACCCACGTGAACGTGTGCGTATGCGAGGTAAATCGATTGAAAAATCGAACGGAAGAGGAATTGAAGCAGCTGAACGATCGAGCCTTTTTTGTTCGCGTGCGCCCCGTTGTACAGAATGGAAGAGAAGCTTGTTACAAGAGTCGACGCTTTTTTTTTGTTTGTTCAGGATTATGTTTTATCGTTAACATTCTCTTTATTCGGATTGATTTTCTGTGAGTCTGAGCGACGATTAATTTTTTTAGATTATTTGCTCATGCGTGTCTCAAGTGAGAGCGAAAACGTCGAAATCGCTGGACAAATATTCTCTCATTACTTCTTCGATGACGAGCAAGTTATCCGCGACTCTGTAAGCCCTCGGCTCGCTTATCTTCTTTTCTAAACAAATGGTCAAAATGTGATCGTTGTTACGCGTCTTTAATGCCGATACAGCGCTGCTGATGAGCTCATGGCCGTTTATCATTCTACAGTTTCGAATTTCCAGGAAGCCCAGGCTCCTCGACGACTCGATGAGCCTCGCGATACCGGCACTTTTCAGTTCGCAGCAGGACACGCACTTGAAGCTCTGAACGCTTTGCATGTTGTGAAACGTCGAGTCCGTGATGTTTCTCATTCCTCGCACTTCCAGATACTCGAGTTTCGGCAAGCTCGTGATTTTACCGAAGCCCAAGTCGCTCACCTCGGAAGAATCTGAGGATGGAAAACTGCAGGATAAGATAGGAATGTTTCTAGCTCGAAGAAATGAATGATTAGAGCAGGCGCTTACCTGCAAAAACGGCCCGTTTCAAATTTTTGCAGTGGCAGGCGACGAGCTTCAAGAAGTGATCGTTCAGCATGTTGGGCGCGCGAAACTCGAGCGTCTCGATCGAGCTCAAGTTGCCGACGAACGAGTAATTCGGATTGGCGAGCATCATGTAATTGTCGAATATCAGACTCTTGAGTTGGGATTTTTGCGTCATCGATACCAGTATCTGATTGAGATACTTTGGAAGTATGACGTCGCGCCTGAGAATGACTGTTCTCAGAGACTCGAGCTTTTCGAACGCCTGACAAAAGTCAACGGGCGACGTGACGTAGAGATTTTCCAGATTCAATTCCTCCACGATGTTCGTGGGCAAGTTGAGGAAACACGAGCCGGAGATCTGCACGTTTTTCATTCTCAGCGACTTCAATTGTTGGGCGTTCTCGAACAGCAGCGAGAAGGCCGCCTCGCAATTTTCTCGGCAGTAACCGATGGCCAGATTCGTGACGTTTTTGTAATTTTTCGCGAGAAATTCTATGCCCTCTCGAGTCGACACCAATCCGGTTATATCGATGGACGTCAATTGTGGACAATACCTTTTCACTATGGTAAACAGAGCTTTGCTGCCCATGAATCGTACAGAAGCCGACGACGCATAATTCTCTCTGCTGCAATTCGTAGTTTCGATCAGAACAATTTTTACGTCCAAATAAAATTGAAATAATCAATGATATCGATTTTTTCCTTACCTTGCGCATGAAAATAAAAAATTAAGAAGGAATCTGCCACATAGCCGAAGCACTTTTTTTAAAATTGGAATCGTTATTACCAATCCACCAAGTAAACCAGATCCCCAATTAATTTCTTTTAAATCTAAAGTTTTCATTTTGCTCCACGACAGGCTACTTACAACTTCCCAGCGTTTGCATACTAAAACGATAAATTTCAAATAACCTTTCTTGTCAATGACGTAAATAAAAACTAGCTCATACCTCTCTGAATTCTGATTTTGTCACAGATAGGTAAGAATGTGAAAATGTGTATCAAACAATCATCGTTCAAGGATAAAATATTCGTCGACGATTTGTTACAGTAAAATGGCTCGTTGCTCGTTTTCAAACGTTTATTTAAATGACTCATGGTAAAAAGTTAATTATTAAAACTTTACGAAATAGATACTTAAAACAATACTTTAATTTATTGCACTACGCACAACAACAAATCAAATTGCCATGCAAGATAGGTGAACAGGTTAGGATTTATCAAATGATTGTAAACAAAAAAAAATTTCACTGTAACCTCAAAAAAAGCTTCAAGACGTCCACTGAGTAGACGAGAACTTTACTCAAAAAATAAATGCCTATCTTCAGGAAATCAGCTGTATCGAACATTCTGTTATATTAAATGCATAAATAATACGAATTTAAATTACGTTAACAAGGCGTTATTACAATTTTTTAGCAATTATGTCTTGCAATAGAAGCACATACTGGCCAAGTCGTAAAATGGTCAGGACTCTGGACTGCTAATATATATAACGCCAGTTTAAGCGCATCTCCCTTCGGTTGACATGAAAAAGAGCCAATGGCTAATTAGTTTGTGCACATAGCCATAGATAGATTCGGGAGCAGATCGAATACGTTGCGCGTCTCTCATTCACATGTGGATATTATATGGGCACAGTATATAAAGCATATTATACGGAGGGTGCAGAGCAAGGAGAAATTCGACTATTTGGCTGCACCTATATACACGATAACCCTTACCCCGCTGCAAATACTTTCGAAATTAAAATCATCGTCCCTCGTTTATATGGCTCTGATGTTATGTAGGGAAATCAATGCAACGTAATAATAATAATATCGAGCTATTTTTAGCAGTCAAAGATATGTCAACTCGATCTCGAAACAATAGGATTTAGTCAAACTATTCGGCAAATCTGTCAGTTTCAGGCTATAAAGGTACTCGACGCGCGTATGCGTATGCATATGTGCGTAGACGCGTGCACTATGGCACAAACTATTATGTCACATTTGCCCGGCCAACGAAAAAAATATCAAGATAACGAAGGGGAAATTCGTCATTTTCTCCCACCACAACGAGAAGTGCCTGCAGTTTCAATACAAATGGAATCATATAATTATTGTATAGGTTTACTTGCCGAAAGAGAGAGAGAGAGAGAGAGAGAGAGAGCTGGTATAATTAGAATACATAGACGTATGCGTCAGCTGAGCAAGACTCACACGCGCATACTCACACACGTGTATGACGCGTGCGATATGAAATTGGGCTCTCGTCGTCAGCTAGAGCTGTTCTGTGCAGGTGACGGCTCGCTAATTGCTCGCCTGCCCACTTCTCGCTCTCTCTCGCTCTCTCCTGTAACCCTTATCTTCATCCCTCTCTCTCTCTTTCTTCAAACGTTCGGACTGTAGGGTAACCCTTCAAATCCAGAGCTGACCCTTCAGACACGCACATGCATGTGCACTCGCACATCTATACATACGCGGATACTTATACGCGTAAGGCAAGTTACAAATGTATTAATACGTGTATGACACAGGCGCAGTTTCGGGTCACGATTCGATGCTTTGATTCGACAAATCAGCTCGTTTATGGATCAAAGTTTTGACCGTACAGAAACATCGAGCTTTGCGGTTCTCGGAAATGTCGATGTATATGCTGCAGTACATATATCGGCCCGGATTTCATGATTCGTTACGTCGATGAATTATATCGAGTACCCTTTGATCTGCCGCGTCGATTTCGAGAAATACAAAAGTACGCGGGCAAACCTGGCGTGCTCCGATTAAAAGCTAATAAACAGCTCTCGCGCGAGCGCAACGTATGTAAAAAAAGTGCGCGATAGAGCGCGCAGAGAGAAAATCTGGAGAAAAATGGGTGATAATCACAGAGATGAACGATTGTCAAGAGTGCACTAAAGAATAAAGCGATGGAAATTAGATTTAAAAGAGCGACATAACGGAGGGTTAGAGAGATCGAAACGTACGCGCGCAGAGAGCTAAAATCATCGATCGACCTGTCGCTCTCCCTATCTCCCTAGCTCGCTCGTCAGCTGCGCTATGCTGCATCGCTTACGATATACGTATATATGGCTGGCAGTGAGAGGGAGAGAGAGAGAGAGAGAGAAAGAGTTGAACAACCCGTGCCAGTATACGCATGTGCTTCATAGATTGGAAGTAGAGGGTCGAGTGCACACAGTCGCGAATTAATTGAGCATATAATCGATGCCTGCGTGTATATGTGCGTACCGCTGCTCTACCACTGCTATTGACGCTGTCGATATAAGCGTGGCGCTTCTGGTAACGATATATGTATATTGCATAATACGCGCACACGCATACCCTGCACATCTCCGTCTCGTCCGCGCGCTCCGCTCTTTCACTCCGCACGCGCACTTGCATTCACGTTCGTGCAATCGTGCCAAAGTATATCCTGTATGTCTCTATCTCTCTCTCTCTCTCTCTCTGCGTCTAAAGCCGCACACCGTCAATTTTCATGACGCGCATCGAGAAACGCGCGTCGCGCTCTATGAATCTGCAGGCAAATGTGGCAAAAACTATACGAGCGACACCCTCTCTTCTTATGAACAGCTCAGTTTTGAGCGGTAATTTTCTTTTGAATTTTACAGAAAGTATCTGAAAAGTCGATCGGGTTTCTTGAAAAAAAATGCCATCGATATGAGTATACAATTTAAGATTTCTCGTTTCAAATGATCATGTGCTTATTAATAAAAAAAAATCAAAACTGTTCCCTTTTTTTAAAATCTATTTATTTGATTGACATGTAAACTATGCAGCATTAAACAGTATCGGACATGAAAAAACGCGTATCGATATCACGAGCTTTGGCCTTCAGCCGCCAAACAAATATATAATATAAATCTTGGTTCATTAACTGATCGATGATTGGTTCACAGCATTCAATTGGCAGCTGATTGTGTATCAGCTCCACGAAAGGATCCATTGCCCATTCCCGGAAAAATCTTCTCGACAATTGTTCAGACAATCTTTTATAGTCTTCAATATTAACATACTCATACTTTTTGAAGAGTTTCCACCATTCTATCGAATTCCAGAACTCGAAGTAGTCCTTATACGTAAGCCGTTTTTCTGCCTCTTTGGGTCGTAACCGGATCAATTCGTAGAGCGATAGATCTGGAATAATCATTATGGCTTCCGTCTTGCTATTGAAATTTTCATCATACATCGATTTTCCGTGATCCGTCGACTTGGCAAATAACCCATGTTTAGCAATCAATTTCATGATCGTCAGAGCGTCGCTTCGTTCCAGTTCGTATCCTCTTTTCTTAAGACATTCGGTGACGGCTAGGAGGCCAGATACGAAGTTCAATTTAAAATGAGGATCAGCCAATACCCGTGGTACAAATTTTTTCAATCCCTCGACAAAATAACTTTGTGTTGGGAAAATGAAATAAGGCAGATCGGCACCATTATAATTAGTCATATTTGGATCGCACCGTTTCTAAGTAAAAATTCAGCCGTCTTCTTCTGTCTTGTGTACCAAGCCAAGTGTAGTGGCGAATCGCCTGTTTTTTTCCAACGGTGATTCGGATCCTGTCCAAGCTCGAGAAATTTCTCGACCACGTGATCAATGCCAAACCTACAGGCCAAATGAAAGTGTGTAAGTCCGGACTCGTCAGTGTAATTTACATCGCATCTGTCATAAATTTCGAAGAGCTCTTCGACCATGGATCTCCGGTATATAGCAGCATGATGCACTGGTGTGAAGCGACACAAAACTATCTTGCCTTTTTTGTCAACTGTGGGTTCGTCTTTATAACCGGTGCGAGCGACGAACTTAATGAATAGAAGTCCACTCTCACGATGTACGGATTCCATGAGAAGACACTCAATTTGTTTTTTTCGAAAAATATCTTGGAGATCAGGAAATTGGTCATTCCAATCGCTGATTAAAGGGTCAAGCTGGCAAAGAAATTTTTGTAGCTCTTCTTTTACCTTCCAGTTAATTTTTTTATGCATACTCTTCAATCTCTTCAATTTTTCTTCGTTAGTAAGACGATAAACTTCTTTCCTCACTTAAAATAATGATGGACCTGAAAGTGAAGCCAATCTATTCGGCCTCTGATTGGTCAATTGACTTTTGACTCGAGTCGAAACGTAATAAAGTGACATCTTAAAGTGACATCTACGGTCAAAATAGCAACTTTTTCGAAACTGACTAAAAAATGTACGCGCGCGAAGCGCGCCTGAAAGTTGCTAGTGGAATTATAATTGCCTTCGTTACTATCGACGCTTTTAACGCCTTCGTTGATTTCATTGATTTCTTTACATTTATCAATATCGAAATTTCTATCAGACTCATCGTCAGACGTGGACTTTTTTCTACGCACGCACATACACAAAAACATATTCGGTTAAAATTTAAGTTATTTTTTTCACGAAAATGACTTTCTGCAGTTTTTACGATTTTTTTTCGTTGTTCACGGCGCGGAGTCGTACCGTGTACTGGCTATACAAACACTACGATTTATATGAGAAACTTGTGGCCGAAGCTACAAGTAGCAGGTAGATGAAGCACGAGATATGTTCAGTAACGAATGGAAAGTATGAATGCAACGCAGTATGGACCTCATAATATAAGCGGCAACAATGAAAGTAGCATATGGCTATAGGCATAGGCGTCGTCTTTAATGTGCCGTTCTAATACTTTCTAATCTTTACCGAATTGAACACGGCTCCGAATCCATGTATAACGTGTCGTTAGTACTTTTCTTGAATACTTGATGGAACATATTTGTTCAATTAATATTTAGAGTATGCAAGTACCCGAAAAATCGGGCTAGCCAACATTTTCATCCGATCCATTGGGTCGGGTCGAGGTTTGGGTCAACTCAAGATTTGATGTATTCGACATCATGCTGCATTGAGCCAAGTATAGAAAGATCCTAAATCTCAAGCTTTCGTAATGGATGTGGAATCGAGAGTACACCTGTGCGGCGAAATTTAGTTATATTCAAAAGTAGTCAAAAGGATTGATAAATATTTTATTTGTCAGCTGAAAGAATCTTTAGCGATAATGGAAATAAATCAAAGTAAAGTCGATAACAAAGCGCATTAACGATACCGCGTCAGGATATA